CCTTTGAGTTGGATTTCTTCACCTTCTTCTATACCTATTATTCTTAGGTTTGGTCTTTTCACGGTGACCCATATTTCCTGGATATTTTGTGATAGGGATTTGTTGGACTTAAGATTTTCTTTGGTTGATGAGTCTATTTCTTCTAGTGTGTCTTCAACTCCTGAGATTCTCTCTTCCATCTCTTGTATTCTGTTGGTTATGCTTACATCTGTAGTTCCTGATCATTGACTCAGTTTTTCTATTTCCAGCATTCCCTCAGATTGTGCTTTCTTTATTGTCTCCATTTCAGTTTTTAGGTCTTGAACTGTTTCCTTGAGAGATTTGTTGATATCTTGTATTTTTTGGTTTGTTTTTTCTTCCATTTCTTTAAGGGATTTTCTCATGTCCTCTTTGAGGTCCTCTATCATTTTTCTGAAGTTGCTATCATTTTTCTGAAGTTGATTCATCTGCATAGTGATGTTCAGGTCTTGCTGGTGTATGGTTCCTAGTCTCCGGTGGTGTCATATTGGGCTTTCTGTTGTTGATTGTGCTTTTACCTTGTCCCTTTCTCGTCCTTTCTTCTGGTGGGAATAGCAGGAGTTTCTTGCTCTCCTGGTGGGTGTGGGACTGAGGTTCTCTTCTGGTAGATGCAAACAGATACAATACTCTGATGTCGGTCCTCTTCTCGTAGATGGAAGTGTCACCATTACTCAGGCGTGCCAGGTCCCACCGGGCCGGTGGATGGAGACAGGACTGCCTCTGGGTGTTCAGTGTTTGATCCTGCCGCTGAACTCGGTCCGTCATGCAGGTCGCTGCTGTCAGATGACTCTATGGTTTTCTATTTTTCTCCAAGCCGGGATGCAGGAGCCAATGCAGAGTTCATTGAAGAATGCTACTTACTGGCTTGATCCCCAGGGGTGATACCACCCACAACTGGATGCCTCCTGCCCACAACAATCACTAATTAAGAAAATGCCCTACAGCCAGATCATATGGAGGCATTTTTCTTTCAATTGAGGTTCCCTCCATTCAGATAACTCTAGCTTGTATGAAGTTGACATAAAACTAGCCAGCACGGTGTCTAAAATGCAGTCCTCTGTGTCTTACTTGTTAGTAATATTTCCCCTCTGGCCATTTAGGACAAGGATCACATCCTGACTTTCTCATCTGTCCCGGGCATGGGGTGGACACTGGATCTACAAGTCCCTGGGGAGGAAGGTCCTGTCCTGATGGCTGCTTGCCCTCAGAAGCCCAGGGGAGCATTAGTATTCCTAGCTTTTATCCTAGGAGTAGAGCCATATTAACAGGGATCCTGAGTCCCCACTAAGTAGATCCAGCATGCTTACAGATCAACAGGTTGCGAAGGGGACAGATTTGATCAGAAGATGGGGAGACCTTTGGTCACCATGGGACCCTCACTTTGTTCTAGACTCCTCCTCGGGCCTCCTGTCCTTCCATGAATTCTAGAGAGCTGTTTGTTTCTGCTTCTGCTTCATCTGAAGGCCCTTTGCAGAGTCAGGAGTGCTGGAGGGATGCTGGGGATCTAGCAGCCCCAGATACTGCCATATAGGAGCTCTGGGAACCTGCAGCCCCAGGACAGCTCAGTCATGCCCCTGAGCCCACATCTTGGGACACAGTTCCTGAGATGGCTCATCTGTCCTCTGCTCTGGAACTGAGGCTCTCATCAACTTTCATGACTGGACTGCAAGCAATTATCTGATGCAGCTTCCTCTAAGAGTCAAACCCAGCTGTTCCCTGGACTCCAGGAGGCAGCGGAGCCCTTCTGCCAGGTTATTCTGTGCTCACTAGTGTTGCAAGGAAGAGATTCGCACATCCTTAGTGTATCAACAAAAGGGTTGAAGAAGTTTCTTCAGCCTTGTCTGCAAACGAGGCTCATAAGAAAGAGAGACATGAAATAACTAGTAACAGTGCAAATGCTGCTAAGTGTGCAGATGCTGCCTTTTCTGGAAGGGAGCTTAGAGAGGTCTCTTCTAGCTCAGGCTAACTAGAGAAATCTGCAGGAAAACCAGGCCCAGCTAGACTGAAACAAACCCAGACACAGCTAGTTTTACTCCTAAGGTTCCTCCCTAAGGTTCCTCTTGCTCAGATACCAGACTGTAGGAAGCTTAGGGAAAAGGAAAAAAAAAACATTGTGAGGTCCACAGACCAGGCCTAGGATGCAGGTGTCCTGGAAACTGAGCATCACTCTTCCTCGTTGAGCTTCTTCCCTTCAGTGACACAAAATAAAAGTGCCACACTCCACCCACATATCGCCTGGCCATTCAGTGGACCAGGGTAGTACTGTGCCCCGTCAAGTCCACACTTGTTTTCTTCTCCCCCCTCCTGGGTTTGTGGTAGGATTGAGTGGGGTTAAGGGTAATGTGAACTCTCTGTGAATTATAGTGTCCTGCAGATATCAGCCACTCTTTAGGTGGGGTTCATCTAAAGATGAGCTCTGTCCGTCCTGTGCCTCCCCTGTCATCTAACATGTACCCCAAAGATGTCCCCTGACCCTTTGTCCTTGTCCTCTGTTCACAGGTACCTGGCTCTCTATGCATACAAGCCCCAGAAGAACGATGAACTAGAGTTGCGCAAGGGTGAGATGTACCGCGTGCTGGAGAAGTGCCAGGACGGCTGGTTCAAGGGGGCTTCACTAAAAACCGGGGTCTCAGGGGTGTTCCCCGGGAACTATGTGACACCCGTCTCCAGGTGAGAGCCTGTAGAAACCCTGGCGGCCACACTGTAGCTGGTCCCTACTGGCTACACAGTCCAGAAGCAGTGGGGACATTTGAGTTCCTTTGGGGAGGGGCTCCTCTGCCACGCTTGGTTTGCTAGGCTTTCTCAGTGAACACTGGCTACCAGGGGATAAGTTTGGGAGCAGGAGCTGGAGTAAGCAACAGCAGCTGAGTTGCGGTGGGGGTTGCAAAGGTCATCAGAGAGCAAAGCCTGCAGGGTACACCCTTGTAAACAAGGCCAGTGTGTGTGCGCATGTCTATACAGTATGTGCAGGAGATTATCAAATATGTATGCTCATACAGGTACTCGTGTATGTGTGTATGCAGTGAGAATGGGTCGTGTGCATGCTCACAGTAGAGTTATGATATCTATAAGCATGAAAATGTGTGCCCCGCATTGGTGTGTGCACAACGTGTACATGTATGTAGAGTTTGATATGTATACAGTAAGTGCATATAAGTATATGTAGTGTGTCTGGCATATGAGTGCATGGAATAGGTATAATGTAAATATGCATATATGCATTATAGGCATATCATATATGTTTGCATTTGTACCATGTGACCATAACATGTGTACACATGTATAATATATGACATCACATATATATTTGTAGTAAGAGCACAGAATGCGTGTGTGTGTGTGTGTGTGTGTGTGTGTGTGTGTGTGTGTTAAAACACCCCCAGCCATTTAAAGGAAAGTGATACATGCCTTAGAGTAACGATTGTTAATAAGAAACTTTTTTTTTTTTTAAATTCCCTCCTTGTGCTTTCTGGCATTTCAACAAATCACAATTACATAACTTTATAAAATAAGAAAAGTGATTTCTAAAATTCACTGAAGAGGAAGCCCACAGTTGTCGCATTTTTCCATTGTGTTGTGGGACCCACTGATTGGCTGTTTGAGTGTGACTCACAGCACCCCCTTAAAACAGCCTGTGTCAACACTGGTGGATATATCAACAAACCATTTTAAGTATCTTTGGAAGAAGACTGAAAAATGCCATTCTGATACTTGCCTGTCTAAGCAGCTTCAGAAAGTTTCTGGAAGAACACATACATTTCTAGCGTTGTGGCTTAGGTGGCATGGGTGGTCTGCAGCCAGGACTTCGTGGAGGATGCTCAGAGGCCCGAGGGGAAGGGCTGTCCTGGGGTCTTGGAGAAAGAGGGTTATATAGACAAGGAAGGTGTGTGGTAAGAGATCCTTCACTTGGGGAGCCATCAGCAGGAAGGAACATGAGCAAGCTTGGGGCCTTCGGGAAACTCCTGTACCCTAAATCATGCTGCATGGACAAAGGGATGGAGGCTTAGGACATCAGTTCCCAGCAAGCTTCTTGGGGACTCCTTACTAGTGCAGAGCAACTGGACCAGTGCTTTTGATGTGTCCCTACTAAATGCAGGCAAAGCTCCTGCCTGGGGTCCTCAGATAGAGATGGAGGGAATGCGACCAGCTGAAGGGGTCCCTCACACACACTGAGTATGCTGTCTCCTGACCTCTTCTACTTCCTAGTGAAATTTACCATCCCTTTTGTGAACTCGGTCTTAAGTCCACTTGCTAAGGAAAGCCTTACCCCATGGCCCAGTCTGAAGCCTGCGGGTGCTGCTCATTATGGGTCATGAATAAGTCTGCAGAGCCTGCTGGCCTCGACACAGCAGCCATTTCCAGTTTTGTACACTGGGCTCATTGAACGCCATTTATATATACAAAGTGCTCAATAAGTGCAGGCTGAATAAATCAACGAAACCTGGTAGTTCTGATTACATTCTGTTGTTAGGATTGCGCATATCCTGCCATAACTATGGGAAGACTTAGCTGGAATGAACTAGAATTCTTTGGGCAACCTGAGCCACTTCAGTTTGTGTGCCTTAGGAGTTTGTCCCACTTCCCTTGAGCCCATCTGTCTTCAGCTGGGTGTTTTGTTTGGTTTTGTTTTTTAAGAAGTAGCTCAGAACAAAGGAGAACAAAAAGCAGACATGCCTAACTCTGGGAGTCCCTGGTGTCCTCTATAACTCCTCAAGAAGAGGAATTGCCAGGAGCCCCCACTCGGTATCTCAGAGGCATGGGCTTCTGCACCAGGCTCACCACACACCCCAACATAGATAGGCTGGCTTTGATCTTATTTAGAGAAGCAGAGGGCTGTCCTCACGGCTCTGCCCCAAGACTGACACCATCTCTCATCCTTACTGCAAATTAGAAAACTGCCAAAACCACCCTGCAGAAACCTCAGGACGGGTGATAGAGGGATGTACAGGCTCCATGTGCAGAACCAAAGTTGCCAAAGTAGTCTGAGCCTGAGAGGACACATTTGAGCTGTTTTACAGCTGTCACCTACAAAAGCCATTCAGGAGGTTCTTTCTCATTGTTTGCTTGGGGTCTATTTATTTATTTGCTTCCTTGCTTGCTTTTACAACAAAAAGAAAGTCTGACCTTGGCCACTAGGGCACTTGTAAGAACAAGTGTGAGCTTGAGGTAAAGAAGTATGGGCTGGCTGGAGCATGCCTACCCAGACTGCTGCTCCCGAGAGAAGGGGTCTTAGTTGCCACAGGAGGCCCGTGTGCAGTCCATTGCCCTCAGCCTGGTTAACATAGCCTTACAAATACAAGACCCATACTTTGAGTCTCATCTGTTTGGTTTGTAAAGATCGAGCATGGGGTTACAACAGTGGTTAAAATGCATGATGTAGACTGACCCATTGGCAGGGCCACTCATTCACTGGAGACAAATTTCAGAATAGCTCTGAGGATGGGGAAGGACCACAGTGCCGGTAATCCCTTAATGGTGGCCCCCTTTCTGGAAGGCCCTTCTTCTTCCCTACAGCTGCTACACAAACAGTCTGAGTTGCAGGGCTCTTCCTTTGGAAGTCCCCACCTAGGCCACGGGGAGATAAGAGTGCACCTGGCCCAGGAAATGTCAGTGTTGAGCAGAACCACTCTTCTCCCATCGTGCCTTCTGCTGTCACAAGAGAGAAATTCTAAAAGAATGGGAATTGGACTTTGCCTCCTGGTACATTTTAATCCCTGTTAATCACAAACCACAGAAGCCCATGAGCCTCAGAGCCGAGGCAAATGCATGTGTAGAGAGGGTTAAAAAGCCAGTTCCAACGCTGCTGTGCTCATCTTATATAGAGGGCTTCCATCTGGGAGCTTTGAGGTGAAAGTGTCTGTCTCAGGTATAAAACTGTAAGTTCCCTGATGTTTTCACGGGGGTGGGGGAGTATATTATTGTTCCTATGCCCATATTCAGTGGCTGGCAAAAATAAGATAGAATCATGTCTCAGAGAAGCCACCATCATGTCCTATCGTGCTCCAAAAGTACCAGTCTTGGGAGAGTCCACTGTCTTTCTAGTAGTGTTTAGAAGCCCATAGCTTGGGCTGGAGTGATGGCTCAGAGGTTAAGATCACCGACTGTTCTTCCAGGGGTCCTGAGTTCAATTCCCAGCAACCACATGGTGGCTCACAACCATCTATTATGAAATCCGGTGCCCTCTTCTGGTTTGCAGATATACATGGAAGCAGAATGTTGTATACATAATAAATAAATAAATAAAATATTTTTAAAAAGGAAGAAGAAGAAGAAGCCCATAGCTCTTGGTTAGGAAACACCAAGCACAGCCAAGGCTACCCTGCTGCTCAGCTTGACCTCTGGGCATTCTTTAACTAAAGCATTGGTTTGATATTGTCTTAGGACTTCCATGGACCACTTGACCTTGACCTCTCAGAGCCTGTAGGTCAGAGCTGGTTTTTGCTGTGGCTTGAATTTACCTGAGCCCACTCACTCACTTGGTTCTGTTTATTTCCCCAGGGTTCCTGGAGGAGGGGCTGGGTCACCCTGGAATAATGTACTCGGAGGGTCTCCACTGGCCAAGGGGATGGCCACCATTATGCACCCTGGAGGTGGCAGTTTGAGCAGCCCAGCCACTGCCACCAGGCCTGTTCTGCCTCTCACCACACTGCAGGATCATATGCAGCACCCAGCCACCTCCCTACCAATGGGTGGCTGCCTTCGGCACACCGCTCAGCCAACAGCCAGCCAAGCCGGGGGTACCATCATCCCAACAGGTATGAACACAAACTCCCAGGGGACACCTGGGATGCAGAGCATGAGATCTCTTTTGGGCGAGGTCTCTCACAAGCCAGCATGAGGGGAAGAGTCAGGTTTGCTTCCCATAACCTGGAATCTCTGATCTCTAGTTTATGTACCCATCCTCCGGTGCCCTGAGATGGCGGTTGAATGGGCACAGAGGATTTACAGACACTTGCACACTGTCTTGTGGCATGCAAGAAGATGCCAGGGGTGAGCAAGATTGGCCAAGTGTCTCCTGATACCTTTCCTGATGGTGTAACGCCGTTGGGCATATTAAGGTTTCCTGGAAGGCAGTATCTCACAGGAGAGGTTGGATGAGTAGTGCTGGCCAGAGCAGCTCTTTTCTAAAGCATATTGCGAATGGCATCATCAACCCAGAGGCTGATGAAACAGAAGGGCCAGCCATTCTGCTCTGAGGTGGTACGAGAGGAAAAGAAACCATAGGGTAGACTGTAAAGAGACAAAGAAAATAAATGACATGCTTGGAAGCTTAGCATGGGGCTAGTAACAACTACTTGAATGGCAACATGCTTTCGGGAGGTCACATCACCGTGGCCCTGCAGAGCCAGTGACATTGCCATTCCCCAGTGAAAATAACACACAGAGAGGGTGTAACCAATGTTTCTATTCCCTCCTTTCCCCACCATCCAAGAAACTCTCTTTTCCTCCAGGGACAGACGAGGAAAAAGCATGAGTTCTTGGGAGCTGAGATACAGCATTTGTAGATGAGCTGCCCAGACCATGGTCACTAGAGGGCTCCAGAAAGCATCTCCCTGTGTGTGTGAGACCATACGCTCTGTGCTTGTATTTTCTCCAGTCTCTACTGATGGGACTGAGTGTGTTGAGGGGAGGGACTTTGTCAAAATTTACCATCCATTCACACACCCACAGGACCTGAGACTTGGAAAGATATTACCTGCACACCCATAAGTGGAGGTTTACATGGGGCAAGAAGGGCTGGCGACTCCTTGTGGTCTGTCGATGTGGGTCATTCTGAGAGCATTGCAGTCGTCACGCCTGCTCCCTAGACAGGATGCCATCCCTACTCAGATTCTCACTCACTAACTGGCAGATTAACAAGCTGTCCCTTGGGGAATTGATGCCATCTTGGTTGGGGAAGGGGGGGGGGGGGGAGGGGGGGCGGCATGGGAGGAGGGAAACTGCCAGAATAAACAGCCAAGAATTCAAACAGTGGAAGGAGGAAGGGCATGCTCGTGGTGAAGGGAGAGGAATGATCAGAGGAGACATGGGAGACGGTGTCTTCATGCAGATGTCTGCAAGAACCATTTTTCTTGTGGTTACAGATGCTCATGTTCAGTGAGCCAGGCAAGCATGGTGTAATGAGAGGGGTAGGGAGATAGAGAGAGAACCACATTCACATCACCTACTACAGAGGTTGTAGTAACTGTTGTGTTTTATTACTAGTTACTGTTGTTGATCCCACAATGCATCTGCTTTATAAGTTAAAGGGTTTCATAAGCATGAATGGACAGAAAAAAAAATCCCAGAATATATCGATTAGTATTAACTGTGTGGTTTGGGATAAACAAAGGTGGTCTTGGGATAGCTCCCTCTTAATAAAAGACAACTGCAGAGTATATGCCACAGCCCAGTTGAAGGCAGGAGGTTTGAGCAGCAGACAGACCTGCACTCAGATTCTGGAGCTGCCACCATCATTAGAGCCTCAACTTTTCCTTCTGCAAAATGGGAAGATAGGGTGTGCTCACTGTCTAGGATGATTGTGTATAGATGCTATTAATATGCACTCAACAACTCTTGGCTAGTCTGTAGAAGAAAAGAATGTCTAACACATGCAAAGGGAAACAGCAACAGAAATCATCACTAAAGGTTCTAAGAAGTATGAGATTTGAGGTCTGTGCGGGTGCTCTGAGGGACTTTAACCCAGGGTATAGCATTTTACTAAAGGCCATGATTAACACAAGGAAGAGACCTGATGTGTGGAGCCAGGGCCTAAAACAGGAGCCAACCAGAGACAGATGGTAAGCAGCTGCAAGGAGTCTGATTCCCTCCCACAGCATGGGCAGAGGGCATGAGCAGCTCCTGAGGCACTGTAGTTCTGTCTGAGATGGGAACCCCAGGCATGGACTCGGGAGCTGGAGGAACCAAGTCCAGAGTCCAGATTCTGAAACTAGTTACCTTGGGAGTGTGACAGGTTCCTCCCCGGCCCAGAGGAAGTGACTTATGGGAAGTTGGCAAACCAGGTTCAGACATATGGCTTTGAGAGATGTAGCAGGCATGGTGACCCTGGGTGTGCTAGCTGCCTTGGAAAAATATTCCAATTTGAAAGTTGATATCCTATATTAAAGATATCTCTGTCTCTCTCACTCACTCCCTTTGCCTCTCCCTATCTCTTTCTGTGTCTCACAAACATACCCCACACATGGTAGAAGGCAGTTTCACAGGCCCAGACTTCTGTTAGTAGGGAAGAGGCACTTGACCCTCCAGGGATACATGTTCCTGTACTGCCAGAACCAGGTCTGGGAAAACATGTTCCTGTAAGTGCTTTCACTGAGAAAAGGAAACACAAGGAGCCATGTAGATCCCCTACATGGAATAATTCAAACGTTCTGGTTTTAAGGGACAACAGGACAGAACTCTAATGCACCATCACTAGTGGTGCCTAGTGTCCTCAGTGGGTGCAGGGTAGATGCTGGTACCCCATGTATAACACCATCGGTGAGAATAGGGTGGACCAGGATATCTGTTATCCAACATCATCAGTGAGTCCAGAGTGAAGCTCTTGTGAATTTTATGATGGTGACTGTCCTAGTTAGGCTTTCTACTGCTGTGAAGAGACACCATGACCACAGCAACTCTTACGAAAAACATTTAATTGGGGTGGCTTACATTTTCAGAGGGTTAGCCCATTATCATGGTGGGACATGGTGGCATGCAGGAAGACATGGTGCTGGAGCTCAGAGTCCTACATCTTGATTGGCAGGTAACAAGAAGTGAATTGAGACACTAGGCATGGCTTGAGCATATATGAGACCTCAAAGCCTGCCTCCAGAGTGACACACTTCCTCTAACAAGGACATACCTAACTCCCATAAAGCCACAACTCCTAATAGTGCCACTCCCTTTGGGGGCCATTTTCTTTCAAACCACCGCAAGGTCCATGTCTCAAAGAAGCAGAACTAGCACCAAGCAAGGTTTTCTAGGCACTACCCTATTGAAAAGACCCTAAGCCCACCTCCAGTAACCCGGAGAAACCACAAGTCTATTGTGAATGTCCCTGTTTGCTTATATTAGCCAAAATTCCAGCCTGTATTTTGCAACCTTAGCCTCTGGCAACCTGAAAGCATGGCTATGTGTACATCACAAGTGTTCTGCAGCCATCTCACCTTCTCCCAGACCCCTCTTATCCCTTTCTCTAACCCCCCAACCATGCACACTTACACTAATGTGTACAGCATTATACTGAGGGTCCCTTGGTACCCTCAAGTTAGAGATACAGCTGGTGTGTCTGGATAATCATTTTGAACTGAGCTTCCAGACTGATTGGCATTCCAAGACGCTGAACTCGAAAAATGCTGAACTAGAGGGTGCTACCATTCTTGTGGTTACAACTGTCTCACCATTCATTCAGCCCAGCCAGCATGCCAGAAGCGTGTCTAAGCTGAGTGGCCCTGTTGGCACAGCAGTCATGGGTTATCTGCACCAAGTAGCCAGAATAATGGCCTTTCCACACCAAGCCTCACTAGAGGCTTTCCCAATTCAAAAAGAAAACGAAGCCCTGCCAGTCATTACTCCTGCATACAATGACAAGCACTATCAAAAGAAATTGGTTTGGCTCGGGGCAGCGTAACACTGTGCACAGTCCATCACCATAGCAACCACGATGGTGTGACAAGCATTCTCTTCTATCGGTTTCATTTTACATGTGAGGAGAGTGAGACATGGGATGGCTAAGTGGCTCCCCCAGTGCTCTAACCTAATGCTTGTCCGTATGCCATTGTGCTGTTGTCATGGCCAGGTGAAAGAATGGCTCCTACCAAGGCATATCGGTACATTAAATGCCACTAGGTTCCCACAGCATTTCCCACTTTGTTCTGCATTTAGAGAGACGAAAACGCTGTTGACAGTGCAAGTAATGGATTGTTCACTGCAGTAATGGCCCATTTCAGCAGTTCCTAGTCCTGAGTCGGGAGGCGTTTCAACAATGTTCTCATCTGGAGCCCAAGGAGGGCTGTTTGACAAAGGTTTAATTGCATTGGCCGTAGCGTTCAATATGATAGTACCTCCCTTACTATACTTAATGTACCTCCCTTTTGCAAGGGCAGAGAATCCCCTGCATAGTGCCCATGTTCTTTATGTCCCCATGTTAGTACTTTACATGGGTGGGAGCCCCATACAGACATCTCTTCATCAAGAATAAATGGCAGAAAGCAAAACAGACAAAAATCAGCACCCAGGAAAGGACTAGGTATAGACACAGGACCTCATGGGGATTGGAAGAAGACAGAGGAGACACAACAGACCCTATCACTGCCTGGTTACAAGAGGGGGCAGAACACAAGTTCCTACAGTAGTTTGAAAATACCATGGGTGAGATGTTAAGGAAACATGAAGAGGGACAATTCATTCATTCAAACCCAGAAGAAAGGAGGGAGGGGTGGGGAAAAGTTCAGGCAAAGTTTTCAAGAGGTCATAATCCCTGGACCCTTCAAAAGCAGGTAGGTGCTGTGTAGGCAGACAGGGTAATAAGTGTTCAGGCAGGAGGACCAGCCAGGGCAAAGGCAGATAGGTACTATGTAGGTAAACAGGGTGGGCAGTGTTCAGCAGGCGGACCCAGCCTGGGCAAAGACATGGCAGTGAAAAAGAAAATAGCTCCTCTTCAGGGTCATTTCATTCAGTTTGTTTGGGGATCAAGGTTTGTGAGTAGTCGTCCAGTGTGGGTGGGCAATTGCTCTGCAGAAACAAACATTAAATCTGAAGGACTGATAGAACTCAG